AAGATGAGAGCGTACGGGCATTTGGGATGCGTTTCCAAAAGATCTCCGACGTGCTGATGAAGAAGGGGAAGATCTCAGAGGTCGAGCGCTGTACTATCTTCACGGACACTTGTCCAAAGGTAAGCAAAATAGTATACTTAGAGATCTTCCGCGCGATAGGCTTGATTTCCCAGAAGTCCTAAATCTCGCGATAAAGGCAGAGGCAGACGATTACAAGGACTTGGTGTGGAGAGGGATGAGGAGACGTGACTTCTCTCTCTACAAGGAGTATGCCACTGATAGATGTCCTGATTTCAAGGACTATCCCTGGTCGGAGAAGAATGAGGTCGTGGCTGAGGAAGTGAATTTCAAGGACTATCCCTGGTCGGAGAAGAATGAGGCCGTGGCTGAGGAAGTGAAGGAGATACGGGACATGGTGAAGGGATTAACGAGACAGGTTACAAAGATTGTGACCGCTACAGGGGCCACGGCCTACCGGGACAAACCCGGAGGACCCTATTCACTTCGCTGGGACCGTAGGAACAACGATCCCTGGAGGAGTGTCGAGGATAGAAATCCTCGGACGCTAACTGATTATCGTACGAGGGGAAGAGAGAGAGACGATGAGCCATGGCGACATATGGACGATGAGATAGACCGAGACCGCAGAGATCRCGAGCCGTTTGTGCGAGCAAGGAGGCTGGATGATTACCCTCGAAGCCCTCGCTATGTGGCCGATCGGGGTAGAGGCGACTCCCGCGGCCGATGGGAGACAGAACAGGGCCGACGAGATGGATATAGGGACGACAGATACGAGAGATCGGACCGAGATGGATATAGGGACGACAGATACGAGAGGTCGGGTCGAGATGGCTACAGAGGAAGTAGATATGAGAGAGGAGATCGAGACTGGGAATGACAAGATGGGTCGCGCGGACAGTTTGAGCGCGGGGGAGATGCGAGAGAGCAACGCGACGAGTCGCGGGGGTGGTACAACCGAGGGGACCGACGCGATGAGTCACATGGACGATATGACTAAGGGGACCGCCGGAATGATTCGCGAGGGCGGTATGAGCAAGGAGGGTTTGGAGGAGACCGGTGCAACGATCCGCGCGGTCGGAATGAGAGAGGGGGATATGGCGTCTCATCAGAACCATATCCCAAGTCGCCTGACCCCAAGGCGGCCAGGAGTTCGATCTCTAGAGGTGCAGACGACAGGGGATCTACTCCGAGGAACTCATGCGTCTACTATAGAGTAGAAGATCATATCAAGAGGGATTGCCCGGACCTCAAACGGGCAATAGATGAGGGACTTGTCGTGCTTGACGACCGCAAGGATGTCAAGTGGGCAGATAATCTGGGATATGTATCGATGTTCCCTTCGATGAAGGAGAATGTCGAAGCGAGGAGAATAAAGACGAGTAAAGGAATGGAGCCGGTCAGGAGCCAGAGCATCAAGATAACCTTTGAGGGGGATATCGCGACCACACCCATAAGGGTGGCAGCCACCAAGTCGGCRAGAGGGTCTACATCGAAGAACACTGACACGGATTACGTGATGGCGGAGAAGGACGGGCAGCGGGTCGATGGAGAGGAGGTTATCCTTTCGCCGCGAAAGAGGGGAGTGAAGAAGTTCKTAATGAAGAGTTCGCTGGACGAGATTGACACGGTCGAGCCACTGAGACGGGCCCTTCGGCAACCCATGCAGTGCTCTATACTGGAGTACCTGGCGGCATCGAAGCCGGCTCGTGATGAGTTACAGATGATCACGCGGAAGACTCGCATACCTCTCTCGGAGGAGGGTCAGGGGGCCCCTAAGGCGGAAGCTTCTACAGTAGCAGTAACGGGGGTGACTGCCAGAGCGGATCGCATGGCGACAGTCCTTCCCGATGGAATGGAAGGTGAGCCTCCAGACCAGTTTTATATACTTGGTAGCGGGGCCGTAGGGACGATTATGAACGATGGAGCGGTACTCGATGCTGTGATTGATAACGGCAGTGAGGCTGTCATCATAGACGAGGACCTGGCAGTACAAGTTGGACTGGGCCTCGATAGGTCATACCTATTCGAGATAGAGATGGCTGATGGGAGAAAGCAACAGATCACTGGCGTTTGTCACAAGGCAGCCATAGAGGTTCAAGGGGTACGAGTGACCCTGCCTGTTTTTGCAGTCAAGAACTGCAGCTCCGACCTGCTCTTGGGTCGAACGTGGCTGAGCCACGTGCATGCGGTGACGATAGAGCGACCTGATGGGAGCCAAACATTGTCCATTAGGAAACCAGACGGGACGCGGGTAATAACTGAGACAGTGGAGCCTCGGGACCCGAGGAACAGAGCAGCTCTCGCTGTGGGTGCGAGACCCAGTGATGAGATTAAGTCGTTACCTATCACCGGCCGCACGGTACGATTTCGCGAGAAGAGATATGGACCACTGCTCACAGAGGAAGAAGGTCGGATCGTGAAGGTGGAAGATTTAGGGAGTCGGCTAATAGTGGACGGCAACTCGTACCCGAAGGAAAAAGATGAGGAATTTGGCGGTGTGGTATTCGTGTCTTTTTTAAGGGCACGGCCCCCTATGGGGGGTTACCCAAGCGACACAAGCGAGTAGCTCAAAAAGTTAAGCCAGCGGCGGTGGGCCGCGAACAATCTGCACTAGAAGGGATATCGGAAGAAGAGATCACAAATGAAATCAAAGAAAAAAAGAAAAACGAGCCACAACGCCTAACGGAAGAGAGGATAGCAGGGATGGACATCGGAGATGGAAAT